TTTGGACGAAACATCAACGCCCGTATTTTTGATTGGAGATGCAAATAGTGAGCCAATTATAGGTCTATGTAGGTGGCTTAATAACCCCGCCCACACGCCTGGCCGAGTTCTCATTGGAAAAAGTGGTTTTCAACGGTTTCACCATATCTTACGAGGGAGTAAGGATGATACTCACCACCATGAACATGGATTCTTTGGCATGTTTACCATAGGTTCTATACATATCCTCTTGGCAAACTCCTAGATACGCGCTAAGCATCAGCGCAGCAGTGAGGAGGAAAATGCCTGAATGAATAATTTTGATTTAAGAAAAGTTTTTTTAGAATTCCGAGGGAAAGTAAGAAATTACCCACGAGAAATAAGGGAAGTTCGAATACTTTCTTGGCCTAATCATGCTAATCTCTACGTCTTATTCCCAATGACTTTTTTTGAGAAAAAAAAAAACTTACTAGCGATGACCAACATCAAAGTTACAGTTACAGTTACGATGCCTGATGGGACTCCTAGAGAAGGGATATGAATTACCCAGTCAAGGGTAATACTTTTTGTGACTGAAGATTCGGATCGAGGTATCAGAGCATAAAAGCTTGTTTTCAGAGGTTTCCAAGCTTTTTTTTACAGTTCAGCTATTCCAAAAGGCAGCCAGTTTGATAGGCAAAAAGGAATGGAAAAGTTTCGGGATATCATGTGATATTACATGGCATTGCTAGCGAAACTCCTGCATTCAAAATGATAGTAAAGACACATCATTGCGCATTAATTACGAGGAAAGCTGGACAAAGCATTTATTTGCTGAAGAAGCAAATAGCTTTTGTCTGTCTGCAGCTGTTGTGCTTACCAATAAAAAAAGGCTGAATCGAGAAGAATCGAACAGATTCTGATGACTTCGGATACGCCGTTGGATCATAGCTGGCCAGGGTAAATATAACAATACCACAGGTTACAGCAATGACGGATGATATTTGTTTCCTGGTGTAAAAGTGATTCCGTAATGTGAATCCAAGTATGATGTTGGCCAATAAGGAACCCTGAATCTCTGGTTTGCAGGGGTTAAGGCAGAAAAAGGAACTACTCGTAAAACATTCTAAAATATCTAAAAGATAAAATACTCACCGATTTGAATATGATAAACAGTGGAAAATAAATATCACATTTTATAGCATAATTATTACACAGATTTACAATAAAAAAGATGACCACTATCTTCAGATAAACTCTGAAAAATGTTAGGTATTGGCTCTCCTAATTGATGCATTGATTCCTATGCCTCTAGGTGATCGGGACATACTGTGATTTCCCAAAGACCTATTGAGATTGAGTGAAAATCCGCCAGAACTTCGTCACGAAATACATCTAGAGATGTATGTCACGGCAATGTCCCTTGCGAGTGCAGGCTAGCGCCAACTGGAAGCAAGCAAACACCGAATAACTATGGTAGACTACTAGGTGGTTAAACATGGAAACTTCTACGAAATGTTCGGATAGTAAACAAAAGGGACGGCTCATTGAGGAATTAATTGACCGAGCAAAGGAACAGAGCATCTACCCAGTCCCGAAGTGAGCATTGTGGGGGCGAAAGTGGTTGAAAGACAGCAGTTTGAAAACTCTCGGATTTATCACTACTGTGCCGTAGGGTCGTGATATGGGAATATTGGAGAGTACGGATAAATAAAACCGGACGAGTTATGCTGTCGGCCAGAAGCAGTCGGAGCATTTTTCTCCCCCAAATATGTACAAAAAGCACGTGAAAAACGTACCGCGTAGGAATCGCCTGTCTTACGGTGAACATCTTGGAGTGGAAGATCAACCCTTCCAGTGCGACAAAAATACATGTCACAAGGGTGAAAAGGTTGAGACTGTTCTTGACTTCCCTGAAATGTCCATGAATTTGTAAACAACTAGTTGCATGACGTCTTCGGAGAGATAACTATAAAAAATAAAAGAAACAAGCACTGCAAGGAGTAACTCCACAAATTCCGTCTATCTTACCTTTCTAATAGTTCGACGCCCGCTTGACATCCTACGCAACCGGCGAGGGTGCCAGCGATTGATTGCAACAGCATAGGCTATTGTGCAGCTAATGATACTCGAGTGCTGGCAAAGAACTTCTCGGTAAGCAAATTCTTAAAAGGAACTCTTTTGTGTTTTAAAAGGATTGTTCTCTGACTTTCTATCGAACGACATCTAGGCAGGGCCACACCCATTTCCTGTACTTTCGGCTCCCTCACTGAAGCAGCGATCGGTGGTGACCGATTGAATTGAGGACGGTAGTTTTCTTCTGAGGTGGTTTCGAATGATCACTGATTATTGACGGTTATTATTGGTTGCCACACTATAATTTCAAGGTAGTTCCAAATTTATCTGAACAATCTCCAAAAAACACTGAGCGCTGCCTTGGTGACGGACCGAGTAGCAAGGAATGAGTGCGGTTTGGCCTCCAGCTGCGCTCCAATAGCCGTAGAACTCTTAGAAAACTTCAGTCGGAAGGTATCAAAATCCAACAACAAACTAGCAATATCTCGCACGATATCTTCGAAGCTGACAATCGTCACCTATTCAGTAAATTATTGATAGCCTTTCCCTCTCCGGGCCTCTATTGCTTGTAAAAAAAAATAAAGTGGAGCTGACGAGATCTAAATCGAACACACTCCATGAAGTACACCCGAAAGATACTCAAAGAAAAAGCAGGGAAACACCCTGTAGAGTTCTGAACGGTATGGTGCACTTAGGTAAACATTGATCCCGCCCTAGTTTGCAGCGAAGCTCACGCTCACAAACCGAACACCCCCCGCAAGACTTCCCAGTGGCGCCTGCAGGGTATGAGCTGAAAGCTCAACAAGTAGGGGGCATTTCCGTGAGAAGAGGGTGGAACTACTGAACTTCACGACACAACCTGCGATATATAGAGTGGCACAGCATGGAAGGTACTTCATCAGAATCTTTCTGTGCGTCTAGGGATGCTACAAAGGGTACACACTTGTAGTTCCTAGGTACTTCAAAGACAGAAGAGGCTCACTAAGCAAATAATCAAGCATCCTTGTACGACCTCGACCTGGGACGTATGATACCAAAACACCCAGTTTGCCTTCTAAGGCTTTGTTATTCTCCCACCGCAACAACCGAACAACTTTAATGTCTAGAGGGGATGCTACATAAATGTATCTGAAAAAAATCTTTCCTGAATCCTCTATGGAAGAATATTCCTCGACTAATGCAAGTGTTAAAGGTAGTAAAGTCGCCGTTTGTCTACGCGTTCTCTATAGAGGCAACACTTAACGGGAGAGTCCGACCTGATTCAGTAAAAAAGCTTTATAAGAGTTCCTCAAATCTTTCAATTACATCCTTGATATAACTAGATTTTGGACCAGCTTACTTGCAGAAACGAATACTCTGCGTGGTCACCCTCCGCCTTCTCCCATTACCTGGCTCGATTTCTATCCAGGTCAATTGCATAATCCACTCCAGAGATCATTATAACCCTCAATAAGTTATTTTTATTTCTTCAATTCAGCGCCATGATTTAGAAGTTTCAATAATGTTTACAAAAGTAGACTCGTCTGGGAAAACGAAAGCACTTGGCGTAAATCTACTGAGAGTGGATGTCAGTGAAGGCCGAATACCTCACTCTCAAACTCTTCAACGATTTTGGAAGCAAGTCGAATGCGCTGGCGTACTCTCGAAACGGGACCGATCAACGCCTTAAGACTTAATCCTCAAGCCCTTTACCTCATCAACAATAGCGACCACTACGGTAAGCGATGTTCTCCGGGAGGCTAATCAGAGACTGATAGCCAATATAATTGCCAAAATAAAAGACCTGCATCAGGTGCTTCCCATTTCTCATCTTCTATGTCTACAAGTAGTTGAATGCCGTTGGAGCTTTTACTCCTCAAAGTTGCCATTATGCCAGCCGCCTTGCTGCTTTCTATGATTATATGCGTAAAGATTAAGAACGACAACGGTGAGCAGAACAAACCTTTTGATCGGCTTTTCTACACATTCTCAACCTGACTTTCAGATGAGGAAGCCAATGTCGTCTACTTCAACATCTTTCAACTGGTAATAACACTAGACAGTATTCTAGCGCTTCTCCTAAACTATCAAAATATCCCGCCTGATGGAGAAGAACTGTCTGATATTTCGAGTCGCGGTTGCCAGAAATAATCCACAGAAACTGTTTAATACTGCTAGCAAATGGACGCATTTCTTTGCATTTACAAGGGTCAAGAGTCTCCCTCATGCGTCAAAATTGGGTCATCGCGCACGATCGAATAGACAGCGCGGGGACAACAGAGAGCGCGCGTAGTAACCCAGTCTCGGTGCGTACAGCAACCTCGACTGGGTTTCTGGGCCGTTTTCCCAAAGTGGAGGCGAAGTCTCATATTCGCTCACTACTTCTCAATAAGAGAACAACCGCTCGTCAGGCCAATAACCATGAGAGATAAATATTTCATTCCGCTCACATTGATCCCACATCTTATAGCCTTTCATGAAGAAACGTCAGATCGACGACGACGACGACGACGACGACGGCAGCAGTGAAGAATCCGGAGAAGAGAGCGAGCCTAGGACTACGGCAGCTGGTGATAGAAAGAAGAAAAGTGAGTGGCTGCTGTTGAAGTCTACACAGCTCTGAGAAAATGGAGTCACTCGCGGTGCCCAGCTGATCTGGGACACAGCGCTTTGGTGTTTTAAACAAGTCCGATGTCAATTAACCGAACCAGGAAAAGTTGGGTTGACCTGGGAGGTAGCAGTCTGAGATTCGCTCTCCGAACCATGATGGGAATGACTCAACCGACATTTGATACTGGACCCAGGTGTGGTGGCGGGTTTGCTTGGCTCTGACCACCTTTCGCCCTTATCTTTCATACTGGTAAATTTCCAGGTCAAAAGGATCAATGAATATTATTGTTTTCAGAATATCGTCCACCCAACGACAACGAAACAGTCGACGAATGTGCCAGTGCATGGGAAAAACCGGTTGAAAAACCACCACCACCACCACCTCCACAACCTCCACTACCTCAGCTACGACCACCATGGCCTATGCAACAGCAATGGGCTCAGCAATTCGTTAAAGCGAACACACGTAGTATGACCCCTAGTTCTAAGCGGCGGAAGAAAAGTACACGGAAGAAGGGATCCAAGGAATTTGTTTGGGATGGCAAAGATTTTTACTATATTCTTCCAACGCCCAGAATACAAAAAACACAGCAAGATCGTCAGCCAGCACCTGCCAAAGTTGGGACAAAAAACGACCCTCAAAAACAGGAACCGCAACAACAATCACCACCAAAACAACAACAACAACAACAGCAACAACAACAACAGCAACAACAACAAGATCCGAAAAATCCTGTCCCAAGAGGTTTTTACTAGCATTTTGCCATTCAAGAACCCAAATCCTAAAAGGTTTCACTGTTCACTATGTCGCTTACCCAACAAGCCTATTTTTGCAGAAAAAAGCGAGTATTGACTTCTAGCGTATAAAATATATCAAAACAAATTAGTTGAGTGGCCCAACGTGTGGAATCGATTTGTGGTGGTGTTATTGATGTTTTGAATAAGATGATAACAAACACAACACACAATTTCTACTATTCATCCTTTAAATGAACTTCAATAAAAGTGTTTAATAGACCTGTCCTGTATCACCGAATTACATCGTTACACATAGTTTAAGGGCTCCTGTCTGTAATGAGATTTCTAAGAGGTTTACTTCAAAAGGTATATATTGATTCTGAAGCAGCTGAGAAACCAATCCAATTCTAAACCATAATTCCGAGGATCAGAAAAAATTAAAGAAAGTAAGGAAAAAAGTTCGAAGAGGCAAGTACGTGGAGAGCAATCTCAAGGGATTGAGAGGAAGTTTCACGGAAGCCATTGTAAGGCATGCTCTGCAGGTCTGGAAGTGGAGAAAGGAATCCGGGCAGGTTTAGGTAGTAAAATCGATAGTAAAATCGATTCTGTTTCGGTAATAGAAGAATGACTTGCAAAAAGTCAGGTTCTTGGTTCTATGCTTTCGGCTTGATGCAAAAACGGTTTTATGGGTTGTAGAAAGCAAGACTATCACATTGGAAATAGGCCATTAGCACTTACCTAAAGTCCTCCTCCCAACTGAACTACTACGTGGTGGTATGGGAGCAGAGAAACACATGGTAAGGGTCGAAAACAAAGGACATGGTGGTAGCGCCTTGTCTCATATGGTAATAGGGAAAGGGTGGTGCCCCACCTGTTCAGCATCCTCTTCATACTATGAACTTTCCTCTTTACTATCTTCAATTTCAATTGAACTACCATCCTGGCTGGATTTCTAACAACGTCAGACGACCATGACCACGACCACCAACCCGATAGTCAGACCTCTTCAAAGAAACCCTCACCGAAAGAAACGCTATGCTTCGTGTTCCTCGAGCTCGGACTATCGACTGGACCACTCTGGCTCACGATAGGTAAGAGTGGAGTGGTTACTGATGCCCTTCCGAGGAAGTCGATGATCAACGGGAGATAGATGATACAGGTGATCCACCTTACTCACTTTCAAGATCCACAACGATCATCCCTGAGGCTTTCTCCTCGTAAATGTCTGGTACCAACTAAACTACCCAATAAACGGATCAAACCCATAGATGACCCACAATGAGAAGAATCCTTCAGTTGTCGACTGTCTCTTCGCCAACAATAGCAAATAACATGACGGAACCAAAAAACAAAAACAATTCAAGAAGATAGGAGTTTTTAAATCTCTTTTCAATCTAATTGAAAAACAAGAAAAAATGACAGATGTATTTATTAGCAAATGAATATATCGTTGAAAAGAGCGAAAATCACAATTCAATAGGCATTGTTGCACAAAGTTCAATATGAATAGAATACATGGGCTTATCACACAGGTCACCGAACCAGTACATCATATACAATGCATTGGCATAATGTACTTGGGCAATGCAAAACCAGTACCACAAAATTCCATATCATACAAATAAAAAATGAAGGCCAATGAAAGATTAATAAGGACGTACAATACAAGTACAGTACAACTACACATTCAATTGACAAAGTAAAGTTAAGTTATTCAATAAATAATCAAGAGATAATTCGTTATTATGGTGAGTATTAGTTCGCACTAATTCGTATAAAGGCTATGGCTGGAAGGGCATAGGGAAGGCCGCCTCCCACAAACTGCATCCAATAAACGAAAGAGGAAAGTCTCCAAAGTTTAAACTTTACTAGTAAATCTTTAGGCTTAAATTTACTCACTTGAAATTGTCAGAAGCATAAGTTAAACTAGTTATGACCCATAGGAAACTGCTACCGTACTGCAGCTTGACGTCTAGTAAACAGTTTGACAACTCATTTCCCGCAATTAATCGCCTTTAAGTAAAAGCTACCTCCCAGTCAAAAAACAGCTCCAAGGTATGACTGAGGAGTATTGACGGCAAGTTCAATTAAGCATAAAGCAATTATTTTGATTAGAATCATTAGAACTAGTGTTACATGCATTATATCACAGTAGGAGATCCGTCCCGCATGAAATACATGAATGCGGAGAAGAACTTCTCAATTATGTAAAAAAATTGGAAAGAAAATATCAATCGTCTCTACAAACTCCAAAGCAGAACTCGTCCTCAAAATCAAAAAACATCAACGACTACAAAATTGGTCAGGGTTCTAAACGTGGATCCGGTTCCTCGTTTACCATAATAAAGGTTTGATTCAGGTCCTCCTGAGCAGAGGTTTCCGCTGACACATCATGATCCGAAGGGGGTGTAGCTGGTTCAAAAACCACTACACTGCCGCCAGATTGATGAGCGGGCGTGTCGGTTTTCGATGGCGATGAGCCCTAAAGTGAAAAGTGACTTAAGTCTGTTCAAAGTCAAACTTTCCTTAAGAAAAAGAATCAAATTGAACCGATTGAAGACAGCAATAAGCCATAAGTGTGGAATCGCTCATAGCTTCCCCAGCCCTCACTCGGATTCGCATTTTCTGTCAGTTTTTAACGAGAGATGCCATTGGGAAAAAATGGAGAAAAGATGAAAATCAAAGAGTAAAGTGGTAAGCTTCCGTAGATCACCCTCAACCACTCAGTGACTGGAACTATAGAAGACATCGATTCCTATCCGACTTCTTTTTATCGTAACTTTTAAAAGTTCTCCAGTTAACCCTTGATGATCAGATTTGCGAGCCAAACAGAACAGTGAAATGCTTCATAATAGCCGTTCGTTTTGGGTGTGCTGCGCATTCAACGGGTGAGAGCGGTATAATTGCATACGAAATAAGATATTTGAAACGAATAAGTAGCATTAGAAGAACGCTGGTGCACTAGAACCACCCTGGCAATACATAGGGGGCGGTGATGAAAGGGACTGAGGAAATAGAGGAAATACATTGAAATGTTGGATAAAATTGTGCGAAAATGTAAAAACAAAACGAAGACTTGGCCAGACGGAAAAAAGTGATTTGTAGAAATGTTGTTGATGGTGGCATCTAATGCTTATTGCAAGGAATGCAAAGCAAAAGGTCTACTGAAACATGTGCAGTTTTTCTGCTATCTTGAATTCATTTTGTAAAGGCGGCCACGAAAAGTGAAAAAGCGAAGCGTAAGAAAAAACCGTCCTGCTAGTGGGGTCATTCATAGGAAGGTAAGATGGTGCAGAGGAGAATAAATCGATTAAAGACCTTTGGAAACGGTACCTGAACAGCCTGTTCATTAAGACTTTTTTGCGAAGGTCATGAATGGTGAAAGAACGATCCACGTCTTCTTAGGCTAAAATTTCCACTGGGCTACAGAGCCTCACGCTAGGGATGGATGGAGACGCTACTGGTTCTCGGTCCCCCAGCGTATCGATGATCTATGGGACGATTGGTGACGTAGATCGTTGGTACAGTTACATCACTGTTACTAAGATCTGCGTGCATTACGGAAGTCGAGATGAAGTTGGAGCTTCGTAATCGTATTCACCATTACCACGCTAGGCTCAGCCTGTAGGGTAAAGCTTGGAGAGTTTAGTCTCTCCAAGCTTTACCCTACAGCCGGGGCCTAGCGTTTATCTAGAGTTGCACGTTTCCGACGTTGACTATTAGGGCATGACCGCATAGCAGTATCTTCACATATTTTGGCAGACCTTGAAAGGTGCAGACAAGGACGAGTTGCATTCATGCAATCACAATCAACTTACAGATGCATCGAACATATGAAGGCTTCTCGTGACCTGTTTTCGTATCGATGCCCGATGATTACTGATCCTTTCACGGAATTTCAAAACCATGCGCTGTAAAACACGAACACAGGTGAGACGAACACATAGAGAGAGACTACGTGACAGGGTCAAGCGTAGGTATGAGATTGGAGATGGTGATGATGGACGATGTCAACGTAGCCGAGACGTCTCGCTTCTACGTTTTCCAGAAATCGACCGATCACAGCAGATCGGTTAGAGTGTACTGGTATAATCTTCACACCGTACGCTTGACCACAAAGTGAGTGAAGCAGCAGTGGTGAAACAATCTAACATATACTAATGTGGAAGATGGCAAAGGCTGGCATTAGTGACTAGAAAAAATGGAAGAAATAATTGTTTTTGTTAGAGCAAGCAACATTACAACTAACATGCCAAAACATTGAAATAAAACATAAATAATTCAAGACAAAAACGAATAATTTCTAAGGTCATTAGAGTTTTGCACAAATAAAAAAGGAGAACACCATTTTAGCTTTTATCAAAAAGAAAACAGAGTTCATACGATCGACATACCGACAATGAATGAGTCTCAGCCGTTGTTTCAGGAGGCAGTTCACTGTCATAAACGGGCGATTCCCGCCCTTGAGATTCACAATCCTAAAGTTAAGTTCTATGTCAGTAAAAAAAAAGGCACAAATAAACTTAAGAAATTAGACTCAAACTGTAGCGGAAGTCTGCATGAGGCATATCCTTTGTTAAGAAGCACACTAAATTTTGAATTCACTCTCTAACCAAAGAAACAAACCAGTTTTCAACACCAGTAAATATTTAATTATAAGTGTAAGAAGTTGGACACAAACGAAAAGCACTCCAAGGACTCGTTTAGATGCTCCCATACTCGATCATTGACTGATCGAAACCTAATTGTTGTATTTCAAATGGTAAATATAAATTTAATGTGAAGTGAATTCCCAGACGAGTCTAGCCTAGGAAGGAGCCTAACTCGCAGTGACCCCAATGAATCGCTGAGTTACCACCATCGAATTCAGAATTGTGACAAAATCGTGAATAAAAAACATTTGAAAAAGGACTGCTGACTGTCGGACCTATTCAAAGTAGCTAACCTGAAGAGCTGCACAGTAATGAAGCATAAGTACTGCCAAGGCCTGAAGACGTTCGTCTAGCCCCTCAAACGTTGCACCAGACTTCCCATCCGTTCCTTCCTTCTTCATGGCTTCTAATCTTCCATCTTTCGTCTCTCTTATTGCAAGTTGAATTCGATCAATCTGCAATCACAGAAGAAACCTTTTGGGAAGAGGAAAACTACCAAATGGAGAAGTACTGCAGAATAAACTGAACAACTACCTGCTCATTAATTTTAGCCCTTCGTTCTTCTCCTTTCAGATTGGAAAAGATCTCTCTTCCAAGCACCTTCGCGTGACTTATAGTCTGTTCATTATAGGCATTACCAGGTTGAAAATATAAACTTCGAATAAACGGAGATCCATCCAATGTTGGCAGCACATCTGCCAGGCAGTCCTAAAACTTTCATCACTAGAACTTTTCAATCAGTCAATGTTAAATTCATGCCACTACGCTTATCAGCTCTACCAAGAAGAATGCTAGTAACCTATAAAACTTCGCATTAACACGGATTTCAAATTAGTTGACTTACTTGTATGCTAGCCATCGGACTCAGCATCTCTTCACCTTCCAAAGCAGTGCCTGCTGATGATTCAGAAGCCCGTGAATCACGATGACCATCCAGGTCTAACTTCGCCGCTGGCTTTGCACCTCGTCTCCATGACGAGAACTTTTCTGTCACTTTATTTCGGAGCCTTACGCGACGTGATGTGAGCTCAACATCCTCGGCTAAAAATCAAACTATCACAGTCAGCAGTATCAAAAGTGCAGATTCTCCAAAATATACACTGCACCATCTCATCAGCAATACTACTCTTTAATTATACTTGTCAGTTTACCTTTTGCTGTCGCAGGAGGCTGTGTTGTCTGCGGAGTTGCGGAAATTACGCTCGTTGGACATTCAGCTTTTTGGTCACCCGCATCGACATCAAGCTGGAGAAAAAACATGAACTTCTTGGAACTTTCGACCGCTGCTCGACTTTTAGAGAGCATTTTTAGTCGGGGAGTAGTTAGCGTACTTCTACACGTTTTTAGGTAATATCTGGGACAAAGGCGAAAAATTTCGTTGTCACTCTGAGCAATTCATATATGAGAATATTTGGAAAGAAATAGAATCGCTCAAATATCCTCCTTAAGAGCACATTCGAAGTAAGCAAAATAACTGCCAATAATATTAAAATACCTCGGCGAATTGGGCATCCGCTTGAGCGATCGCATGAGGCGTACAGGCTATCCCGGTTGCGGCTCTTTCAACACATTTATGATGACAGATAACAAGGCATCGTTGGCAGCAACTGGCACTTTTCAACCAAATCTTCCCTCGGCACATCGAACATATCGCACTACCTGAATTACCTTTTCCAATGGTTTCTGCTGCTACGAAGTCATTTAAAACAGTATTACCAGTTTTACTGCTCCAAGGCTTCCACTCATGTGGGTTTGGTGGATTTACCATTGCTGAAGGGACCACGCCAGATTTTGCGCCTTCCAGTGTTTCTTCAACCCGTAGTTCTTCATCACTGAACAACATTCATATTAAACAAACTGAATGAACTTTACCTTCAGAAAAATCCTTTCAAAACGCAGACTCAAGCAGCCAACTCACCTCTCTTCAGTTCCCACAACTCCAGCACCTGCCGGTAATCCTCCAGGGAAAAAGCGGAAACCAAGTGTAACATCACCGTAGCATAGGCGAGGATCGTGACCGGCATGACGAGAAAACTCGGACGACAAGCTGAAATACGTTAAAATGTAGATGCAATAGCGAATCAGTGAAAATGAACAAATAAATCAGGCTAAAACTATTCAAAACCTACGGTTCATTGATGGATTGAATCCCTGTTGGAGGTTTCAGTTGATACACTTCACGATGGCAGTTCGATAACGTCATTTGACAATCATCAAGTATTTGTGGAACATAAAGTGAGGTCTGAAATCAAAAAATACTGGNAGGCAGTTATGAAAATAATGAGGCGACATTCAATTTGAGCAACAGAAACCACTCACGTAGCCTAGAAGAATTGGCTTTGGTGGTTCCAGTTCTGCTATTGGTGCAGGTTGGGTACCGCTTGGTGGTGAGTCGGAGGGAGCAGTCGGTGTCGTTACGGGAGCTTCCTTTGCATGGATGGTGACGTTCAAGTATTTACATGATGCTTTGGTTGGAGAAGATGAAGAAGTTCCGTCCAATTCGTAGTGAAGGGATTGGCCCCAAAGAACATTCTGAAGAATGAATTTGCAGACTATCAGAAAACTCCAGTTTTCAAAGGTTATCCGGCCATAAGGATCGACCATATGTGGCAAGTAGGGCAAATCCTTGAACGAGCATCATAAAAGGATTGTTGGGAAGAAATTAAAGTACATTTAAATATGTTCATAGTTTTCTATTAATCTCATTACAGTGAATATTATACTCAAATTTCCTCCGCTTTTTATTAATCACACATTTTCGAACAGTGAACTTGTACAAGAGAAAAACAGGATCGTTGCTTCAAAAAACTATGATTTCAACTGAACCGACCTCACGGAAATGAACCGATTTGGTCGTTTTCGATCGAGCAAAACCAAGAGATGACGTTGGCGAGTCTTGCACGCCCTGACTTGGCTGTGCTTGACGAATACTTGGAGACCGGCTTAATAACATCGCGATTGTCCCAACTTCTGCTCTAGATTCGAAACAATTGACCTACTTTTTACTTTTCTTCCGCTTTTCCTTCTTATCTACAACTTGCATTTCAACTGGACTGCGTTTTCCAGTTGATGGTAGAGGAGACTGAAAGAAATGCTTCAGTGCATAACAGAACAGCTCACCATATAATTCCTTCCACAGTGGTTTTTAGAAAAGTATAAACAATCGTCTAATTGATTAAAAAAATAGAAGGGTAGGCAAAATTCGATTCGAGATTAACCAACCTCCCTGTCAGGGTCAGCGGGACCCTCCAAATCTCCAGCGTCCGCACCCATTTCGACGTTATCAGAGCCGGCTGACGGGGTTACAGGACGACGCTTTTGCATCAGGTCCAGCACCTTACGCTTACTTGCTTGTAAAGCAACCTTAAAACTCATTGTAACATACGATGCAAAAGCCTGAGAAGACTGAAACTTTGAGTCACTGGAGTAAGTGAGCATTTGTTACAAATGAACTTGAGGTCTTCAAAAAACACCAACAACAGACTTACATGAAGGCGTTGCTTCCTCGTGCTAGCTGGTCGATTGCGATTGAGACCACCCTCGTCTTCGGCGCCATCCTCTGTTGCAAGTGAGAAGGATGAAGCAATGGAACTTATGCTTTCAGCCTGAAAAACTCCTTTGCCTTTATTCGATATCATGTAACCTTAATAAGATAAAAAGACCTAAGCGGGTTGGACAAGCATTAATATCAGAAATCAGGCGAGCGATATGCGTCGTCCTTGTACCTATGACCAAATGTGAAGAGGGAAATCAAAAGCCATCGCAACATACGTACCATTTGACCTCCCAGTGTAGTTGGTGGTAAAAGCGCAGCTGCCTCCATTTCTTTTTCCACATTTGCCATTGTCATTCCCGGCGTTAAGGTGTCGTCCTTCGCACGCGGGGTGAGTATACCCGGAGTGAGAGTACCATTATGATCAACAATGTCATCAATTGATGGCACCTGCAACATTGAATTGAACAACTCGACCTTACAGTGTTCTGCATCACAACCTAATGAGTACAAGTAAGACAAACCACATGTTCGTTGGTTGGCTCACTTCCAAGAGAGCTCATAGTGTAGACTGAAATTATTTCATCTTCTATAACACCCGACACCGACGAACATACTGATATGGAATCTAGTGCTTTCGGCAACAATTCGCTCTCGGAACTTGAAAAAAGGTTAGCATTCACCAATGGTCAAATTAGAGAAAATGAGAGCAAAATTGCAGAGCCTTACCGTGTTCTACGCAAATCTGTGCTTGCCTGGCTGACAAGAACATGTGGTACACGATCACTTTCTGTACGGAGCACTGAAGCCACAACAGGTCGATCGAAGTGACCATCTGAATATGTATCGTCGTTACTGGGTGAATTACAATTAGAAGTTTTACGCCTATTATTACAACCATCTTCTACTGGAATCAAAAACAATGAATGTTGAGATAAAGGATAGAAGTCGAAAGTTTCGGAGCGTTAATCAATCCCGTCTGAGGGATGCGTGTTCGGCTTCTATTCAGGAGGATGTACTGGATGGATATGTGGCCTATACAATGATTTGCCATGGCCAGCCGATGTACAGGCCAGTGCTTTTATCCTCCCAAACGAGTCCGGTACCAATTCTAGGAGAAAACTTGTCATATTTCCACCCAGTAAAAAAATTGGAAAGAGGTGGAGTAGTAACGCCATTAGACCTCCGTGCCGCACCTATGATCCGTGGTCCGATTCCGTTCGGAATATCCGTTCAAACCTACATAGGACTCCCACCCCTAAAGTCCGTATACCAGTAAACGAGCTGCGTGAATAGATAAAAGCCCTGTTTTATTAATAAAAGAAGCCTCGTCGAGTGTGGTATGAATTAATTGCATTTTTGCATAGGTTACCCATTAAGCGCTTCACGATGAAATTCTACCAAAGTCTCTTGAACCGTGACTGACTGTGTGACTCTTGGAACAGAGCTGATCAACGAGAAAGGCTGCATCCTTCACGATAATTTCAAGGGAACTGGAGTAATGTGATTCCGCACCGTTACCTTGAGTTTGGTCGCCGTCATCCCAACAGATTCAACTACGGCCATCATAATAACAAATTCAACTACGTTATTGGTTAAAAACGTGACTTCTGGTAAACCTTTACTGCATGAGCTGTGTATAGTCCAGCAGGAGTCAATTACATCTGAACATCTTCATAAGGTTCAGCATGTATTTACATTTCTAGATGTATTATGTTTGTCCTACTCACTGGCCACGAAATACGGTATGAAATAGTTTTTACCTTTTGAATTCAGATTTCGAAAGAATTAGGAATGGAATACAGCCTACACAAAATTATCACCCATTATATCCATTACATAACATTTTCGAAACCTGGGAGCAACGTGTAAATACAAATTCAATCCTATTTGGGGTCTATCATTTCGCCCACATCCGACACCCCTTTAACAAATCACATCGAGAGAAGCTCCTAAAAAAATATGTTATCAAAATAATAAAATCATACGCTTACTTTTGCCAAAATTTACGATTTATGGAGTTTGCGGTGTAAGCCGCCAAATGCGATTATGGCTTTGGTGGTGTTCATCAATGATCTTCTCTCTTTCCCATCTCACACCTCTAGGTACTTTATTTCCCCTGACGTGAAAATATCAAGGTCACTGGGCAATCAAGCCTGGCTGTAATTTTCAGTGACACTGTATAGCGTAATTCAATTGACAGCTATCTTCTGGAAAAGAGAAAAGGGCAACATTTTCGCTTGAAAAAGTTCCCAATCAATATCATTTCGACAAATTGCAAAGCATCTTGGCTGGGAAGAGGCGACTAATTGCTCAGAAAACTTATTATCTCTACTTCTTTCCTGTAAATCTGCTCAACAGCAACTTTGCTGTCCCAATAGGGTCACTTCAATAAATGAAGCCCACAGGCTCTGGGCTACTATGCAGTACCATTCAGGATCGTTGTGTCGTTTTCAATGCGCATACAACCAATATAATGACTTGCCGGTTGCCAACCAATCTACAAGTCAGCGCATTCATCCTCCCAGACGAGTCTAGTACCATTTAATCGGCCTTTGAGGTATGGGAAAGCATGACTTGCCTGAGCAAGTGCTGATCTGGGATCCGATTCCCATATCATGCATGTCTGATAGTATGCCACTTGCTAGGATTTCACCTTCGCGCTGATTTCCGTTGTTAAGAAGTTGATATCATATAAAGCTCAAGGATCAAGGTAATGGGTCCTTAATAATAACCTCCAAGTGCGCCACGCAATAAAACCTTTCAGACTTGGGACCGACACTTTGAAAGATTGCGCGACCTACATTGTTTTGAAAAGAATCAACTTAGTGGCCTCCTCCCCATAGTAAATTTCGATTCTGACTGTGAGCTCACAAATTCGGAAGGAAAGTATCGTACCACGTGCACTCAGTGGTGGCATTCTTCAGCCCAACATTACCTCAACACCCTGACCTGCTGTCCCCTCCACAATAAAAACGGCTTAGAGGATTATGCAGAAGTAGAAAATAGAGTAATCTTCGAACGACGAGAGTAGAATCGCTTTTTAAGAGAGAATCGCAAAGTCTAGAAAAACGAGGATTGAAAGACCAGCATCGCCAAGGCCATTTCAATACACAATTAGTGAAACCTTCATTGGAATTGTGGATAGAACCTGACGTCACCCCACCTCTACTGGATAGGTTGAGGGGCCCTACGTCAATCATCAAAGAGCTTTCAATGGAGGTCTATAGCAGACTGACCAGATGACCGAAGAAGAATTCCACTAAGCACATGACCATAGTGCGGACTTTGAGAATTTGGCAGCTCGACAAATACTTTTCTCCAAGGTCCTCTGTATGGCATAATATGGGGGACGTCGCTGACTAAGACACCATACCACAATGTTATGTAAATAGCTCTTCAAGTGACCCTCGATCATCATGATATCATCACCAAACAAGGGATGTTTTCGCAGCGATCTTTTTCACAAGTCCCGATGGCATTTTTTCGGAGAGCCTTATTTCAAGCCTTTTCTGAAAAAAAAAAACATTCGAATCGATTAGCTTTTACTCCATTCTCAATCTCTACGACACTTCACGCTAGACAGGCGAGCTTTTTCATGATTGATCCCGTCCGAAATATAGCTAAATATCTAAATAGACTGTGTCAGCAAGACATAAATAGAAATTTTATTATCATTAAAGAATTTGGTCGGAAAGAAAATGTTCTACAAAAGTTCTTCAACGGCGTGATCCATCTTCGAAGAACACGCCTCCATCTCTGGCACAATACTTGGGGCACACTCCAGGCTCTCCAGCATTTCCGTCAGTTCCAGGTTGTCCAGGGAGTCCAGGCATACCATCCAGACCTGGTTTTCCAGGAGGTCCTGGAGGTCCTTTCTCGCCTGGTTCACCAGGTTCTCCATCCTTTCCAGGTAGTCCTGGAGGACCAGTATTACCCGGCGGCCCAATCGGACCTGGCTGTCCCGGTGCACCGGGTTTCGGGTCTCCGCTCACACCAGGTTCACCGGGTGGACCCTGGTCACCTACTGCTCCCATTGGTCCTTGACTGCCTGGCGATCCCTTCATTCCTTGAGGACCAACAGGACCAGCAGGTCCCGCTTCGCCGACAGGTCCTTGAGGTCCCGGATTTCCTGGCGGTCCTTGAGGTCCTGGGGGTCCAGGTGGACCTGGTGGGCACGGCTTGCATGGGGGAGGAGTGATCGGTTCACATGGTTGTTGAGGTGGACGACCAGGGTTTCCGGGCAGTCCAGGTGTTCCTGCCTTTCCGGGCTTTCCTGGCCTACCAGGTGGACCAGGCGGACCGGGAGGACCTGGCAAGCAGCAGCCGTGGCAACTGTTTCCATTCCCGTTCCCACCCCCGTTTCCGTTTCCGTTTCCATTCGTAGCTGTGACGGTCGGGATAGCGGCTTCTTCTATATCGACTGCTCTTGTAGAACGATTTGCGGGAGGCATTTTGTAGACATCTGATCGAAGATCTTCCGCTGATAGCTTACACTGCATCAATTCCAAATTTGCATTACGTCGAACATGTCGTACATAATTGTAGACTATTGGCAGAGTAACGCAGATGGAAAGTACAGCAAGAGCGGAGAAAAAGACGGCAGCATAGCCGACGAATCGGTATGCCTTTAGTCTGGACTCGATGTCCATGAGTAGAGTCGATGCTATTCAATGCCATGGACTTTTATACCCAAGTAACAGGTTCTTGACGGCGGGCAACAGCAAGAAACCACTTTTTCCAATTCTAAGTCACACTGACTTTTCGTTCCGATGATGTTTTTGACTAACTCGGTTGCACGGTAGACGTTAAACTTACCAGCCAACACATCTCTCTGTTGGACCTTTTTACTGTGATAAATCATTATTAGAAAGGTTCCATTTTATTTTGAAGACCAGTCCCCACCCACATAGAACATGATTTATTCTTTAGAGAGGATGATGGAACTACAGAAAAGACGATACTGTGTCTGAATTTCAATCCCCTAATTACTCGGCGACGTTCGAGGTAAGAAGGCAAAACCATACTCAAACAGTTTCCGACAGACTTAATGACTCAGATGACATACGGACAAGTTCTCTTGTCGATTCCAAGACCACGTAAAAAAGTCCACTAGAGCGTATTGCGCTGCCTTTATTACTGAAAAAAGAATTCCTTCTTTGTCTCTCGTTGTAAAAAAGGGTGCCTGTTTTGTAAGCGAACGTCATCACGGGTAACGCATCCCTTGGGAAAGTTATATTCACACAACAACTGTGTGATGAGCAACAATCGTAGGGAGGAAGATTCGGTTGGCTTGGATGGATATTGATTCGGGATTCAATCACCGGACTATGCGTGTGTGATAGTGCACCAATTTCCACCACACAACATCCGCTATATTGAAATAAAGCCAGTACATACTATGAAAAAAGGTAGCGGTCCAATGATGAAAGGTAGAATTGCAGTGCCATCAACTTTAAACGAAATACACGAATACTTCTATAAATTCAATCCCTTCCTTCACATCCCGGACAACACTATGCAATACATAAATTCGAATAGTGACTAGTGATCCAAGCAGGCCTGTCCCCAAGGACGAACAACGTTACTATGCAGTACATCCCATGCGCTCAACGAGCTCAAAAGTCCGGGAATCAGAACTATCAAGAGCTTCTGAGTGTTCCTCACTCATAACACGTCCAGAAATCAAAGGTCATCCAACCCTTCCCAGTCCAGTTGCATCTACACAGGAACTTCAATCGACAGCAATCAAGGAAAGTAAAATACTAGCTGATTCCTCAAGTTACGAGCTAAGTATACAGAAAATCGATCAGTCTATATTTCTGGCGTAGAAGTTGCCTAGGCAAGATGAATAAGATTTTGAGCATGCCAATTAGCAATTAATTTTAATTCGGTGATCAGAATAATTAGACTTTTTTTGCAGAAGACGGGAGGACCTTCGCGATTCTTACTCGTACAATCATTTCATCGATATCCCCGAAACAATTAATTTGCCTTTTAGCATTACATCAAACATGTGAGTTCAATCTATAGCAATGTTATTGGGCATAGCAGCTGATGCAGCAGCATACATTTTCTAGAGTAGAAGTACTCCGACCAAGATTTGCCAATCAACTGCAATTCAATAATTGGTGTCCTTGAAGGCGCTTAAGAGCTCAAAGAACTGGTCATACATGGTTTTCTACATCAAAAATATGATAACGCGATATTGCTGCTACTTTCGTACCCACTTTTGACAGTTGATGAACGAGCCCAAATTATCGAAAATGAAGAATTAATGAAGGACAGAGAATGGTGGAAAGGGATGATTAGGGACATCAAACATGTAGGGTGACTCTGGAGAGTGCCAGGAAACAAAAGCCAAAATGACGATTACAAAAAAGAACTCTCAAGAGAACATGTGGAAGTACTACGGTATAAGCATAAAAGGATAAATCTTTGACGGTTATCAATCCTTAAGATGCGCTCCCTATTCGACACTCATTTGGAGTATGTGTTTGGGTTCCTAAATTCCTTGAATTGCAAATGTTGCATGGTTACGTCGTTAACCTGTATGTGGCCCAATTGTGTGACCAGTTTTGCATTTTTCTCATTAATTCCCATCATTAATTCAAAACATTACCACACCTTTTCAATTCGTGTAAAATTAATTACACATCGTCGCTAACGGTATGGTATAACTGAAAACATTACACCATGCATACTGTAGCGATGCACTCCATTATACCACTTCATTACAGTAGACAGTTCCCATTTTCCATACATTCAACTAACTGAGCTGGACCGCAATTTCGTCAGGAGAAGTCGTCCAGAGTGTTACGACACGATACATTTAAAGAATTAGACTAAACTTTTAATCTGGCGATATCGGACCAATCTTATTGTCATGAAGTCTTCGGAAGGAAAGTATGCAGACGAGAGAGGCAGAGAGGGAAAGAGAGAGAAAGAGCAATATGCTAGGTGGCCAAAAGACGGATCAACTTGGTCACAATCCTTGGTTCTCAAAAAACCTTACTAAAATAAGCTAGAAATGTAAAAGAAAGTCATACCTAAACTAAGAAGCGATGATGCAACTGAGTCGGTGTTTGTATTCACCATCGAAGCGGCCGAAACGATATTGGACATACTGTGGCGGCGATGAGCTACAATGGAACAAAAAAATAAATACATTTACATTACATGGTGTTGTATCAGAAAAAAAAGATAAAGAAAGAATAGAAAGAGAAGAGAAAANAAAACCCCTCAGACAGGAACAAATCGATTTCAGACCTTGACAATGCTAACAATAAGATGGAGTAGAACTCACTTTCCTCCAGAACGACGGAAACTTTCAGGATCGTCTACAAAACTCTAAAGTAGTGACATGCCCGGCCAGAGCCTGTGAATCTCGAGTTAGGGATACCAGTACGAGGTGATCCTACAGCGCAGGCTTTTACTAAAAACTATGCTCAAAATCCTATGAAACATGGCCCTTAGATGTTCGTCGCCTTCACAACCAAACGGGCAGAGTTAACACCTTTTTAAACAGCAGCAAAACAAATTTTATAAGATACAGCTACAGCTGAAATAAAATAGCTACAAAGGATAAGTCTTCGAAAAAGTGAAACACCTGGTCACTAAAGTGAAATCCGAGAGAAAAAAACACTCACAATCCGACCCAGGCGAAAGACTTCTTCGCTCAGGGATTGTCGGACGTGGAGGAGGAACTTCTCCCAAACAAACAAAACCGTCGTCATTGTTTCCATTTATCGTACTTTCAACAGGGTCTTCTAAAACCAAACTATGACTCCAATGAACTCGAATTAAGTACGGCAAAATGTTGTCAGGAAGAGAAAATAGAAAGAAAATAATGTCGTCTAAATCCTTCTCATAGAATCTCCCTAAGAAAAGCTCAGAAAGGCAGATTCCCCCACAACTGCACTGATATATTCGATGTTGTAGAACCAGCTTCATAGCAACGGTACCAAAAGAAAAAAAACAGAAATCGTGACAATTGTCGATCTCGGAATTTTAGAAATGACCCTAAAGAAGAAAACAGCACAAATCCCCCAATGCTCAACCCCACAGGCATCATCCTACAAACTAATGAACAAAAGTAAAAAGGGGAGAAGGAAAAACCAGGAAGTATACAAAAAGATGTTCAAAAAATTCGTAAGCGGCAGCATAAAATACTACTCAGCAAACAAATTTGTTAAAAAAAGACGCAAAAATGGTAAAGAATGATTACCTTTCAAGGCGTCATCATCAATGTCGTCGAGATTTCGATCTACTAGTACTAATAAATCGCCAATGGTCTGCTGAAGGAAGCGAACTACTTGCCGCTCGCTTCGGATAGGTACGTTATTGATAGCAATGAGCGTATCCCCTGTAATAAGTTCCATCTTTATGAGGTGTGGAAATCATCGTCAAATAAAATGGAAGGCACACGAAAATGTGGGCAAGAAGATAGGATAAAGGCGCAAGGATATTTTCCAATGGAAGGACCGAGCTCCTGCTCAACACAACAAACCCCACCTCCTAGATTCACTTATTAGTAGTAACTATAAATCAGAAATTCTATTCTACAACGGATTCTACAACGAGGAAGTGTCAGGACCATCCAAATCAGATGTTTATAATAACTGGCTCTTACAAAACCAAAAGATGCAGTATTCCGACTACAACAGAAACCCAAGTTCAATCACCTGGCTTGAAAGCAGCTTTTTCTGCAAGGCTTCCTTCTTCCACTATAGCCACTCGTACAGGTCTACTTCCGTTCGCATTCGAAGGTGACTGAAACGTTTTCACTATGACGTGAACAAATAGCCCGTAAATCAGAACACTCAAGTACCTAGCCGAACCGGGGTACATTCTCAACAAAGACTTGCCGCTTTACAATATCACTAAAAACTGTGACGGAATATACGATTTATATGCTCACACGTAACTACCTACCACCAAGTATCTTCACCTTCCCTTTATCCTAAAAATGTAAGATCCACAGCGAAAATTCGATAAGGGACCTGAACCAATGAAGGGCCATAGATGGCGGGAACTACCGAGCCCACCGATGTGTTGCCTAATTTGATCGCAAACGATAATTATATTAAAAGGAAGCAATCGTCGAGTCCTTAATCAATGGGAACAATAGAAACTGACTCTTTCCAAGATTAGTATCCGAATCATATACGTATTTCGCAAGCACCTTCTCATTACGAGTAACAAAAATCTCAAGATAATTCCGGACAGATTCCAAAATCGTAGGACAAAAATAACTCAATTTCCCGGGCTTTAGTCTGAGTAAAAAGTAAATAATTACCTTCTCAAATATAAGCCCAGTAGGAGTATTCATATCATGGCGAGAAAATGTTAACATTACACTAAAAGAATGAGCAAAGTCAGTTGAACTTTGCATGAAAGGTCGATGATCTGAAATTATGAAAGCTGCGTCACTAAAAGTGAATCTCAGAAAACAATTATCCTCCACCTAAGGTAGCAGTACAGTAGACAACATAGCAGCTGGGATCCTTCTCGAGTAGAGCGGCTTTCAAACGAGAAGCTTGCAGTACCGTCACTTCGAGGCCGCCTTCGATCTTTATATGGGCAAATGCACCTGCAAATTATAGCAAGGAAAAATGTAGCATCGAATCAGCAGGCTTCAAACACTACCACCCTAAGCTAAACTATACTTACTAAGTGGAGGAGATGGCTGAAGGAATGGGTTGGGAAATAGGGGCCGATAGCGGATCTTGTAGTTTGGCCAAACATGCTTTCGCTGTAGGGCTCGTCGTATGGATTCTTTTATAAGGGGTATCAATCGCTTGAGTTGATGTCCCTGGATCTGAGAACTGACCTGAAGAAAGCAAGATAAAAAAAAANNCAATCATACATTCTACCTATTCATAATGAGCAACGTTGTTATGCAAGTCATAAAAACAAGCGATTTCATTACGGTGTAAAGTATGAAACAAACAAGTTCAGTGCGCTCAACTCACTTCAGTCCCTAACTCAGGTGTCGAAATAAACGAAGACGACCAATGACTATAAGGCTTTCGTGACAGAATCAAACGAACAAGTCCAGCCAGCTTTGTTAACTGAAATAATTAATTAACAAAACTAGGAACTGTGAGATAGTTAGCGGTTTACTACCTTAATCGACAAGTTCGCTTTCTTTCCAAACACGGTGGTGACATCTATGGACGTTTCAAAACCTCCAGTGTAATCCATATCGATGAGAAGGGTGATTTTCTGAAGAAGGTAATTCACTGTCATTATTGACAGACCACTTTTTAACCACTGAAATTGCCTCATGGATTCATTAGTATTTCAAATCTATTCAGTACTTTACTGATGTGTGATAAATATTTAATGGTGATGAAAAATGTCGCCACACGAACGTGAGAAAAAGTAGCAGAGATAATTTTCACCTCGAATATATTCTTGTCCTCCGCCATTTCGACATTTTCGACCCGGATAGCATTGATGCGGGGAAATTTTGTTCCAAGAGACAAATCACGAATTCGTATCTCCTACAATCGAATTGATGGTGTATAAAGGTTAGGCATCGAATTGGATACCGATTTCTTGACACTCTTTTTCGATACCAATGAAGGAAGAGCAAAGCGTTCTTTCCGTGAAAAACTAGAAGCTCTTCACTAGTCATTGAATGGACCTTAAAAAAGCTCAATCGAAAACGAGTCAGCGTTACTCGAGAAGCAATCAAACACCTCGAACAGAAAACTAATTGCACATCGTTTAAATAGATTTACACTTCATTAAAATGTTTCGAAAAAACTTCAATAGAACTATCACAACTTTCACATTAAACCACCTACAAAAAATATAATGGGGCTTGAAAGACTGATAATTATTACATTAGACTTCGTCAGGGTGCAACTTTCAAAGGTAGGCTAACGAAAAAAGAGAAGGGAATAAAAAAAGCAGAAAAACCATAAAACTTCAAAACACACAACTAAAGTAGGAAACAACAAAACCACAAGTTATAGCAAACAATAAGGTGATACCAACCTGTATCAGTCGACCAGCTGCAGATCGAGTGCTGATGTCGTTGAGTTCGATTTGTAAACGTTTATGAAACCATCTGAATTTGTGCACTTCAATCCCCACACATACAGTTGTTCCCCAAGCTATTGTGAAATAAGCGTTTCCTCCATCGAAAACGGTCGAAAGATCGCAAAATGTTGCTTTATGGCTCAAGGATTCAATACAAAAGCATGCAGAAGTCGATAAAATGTTGACAAGCGCCAAGGCCAGACAAAGAATAATAGTATATTTTTGAGTGCCGCAGAAATACTAAGTTTAGTGACAATACATAAGAGGAGTGATGAGCTCACCTCCTAAGTAGTCGCGTATCCTTATGCTCTTGAAATAACATATGCAGAAAAACAGAAATGGAATGACACGACTCCCATCGCGATATGCCTTGACCATCATCGCCAGTCTTCAGGAAATCGCGGAGTTCCTGAAATATGATTATTCTCTTTTTTTATCAGGTGATAATATAAACAAAGTACACAATAAATAATCAACAGGAAAACTGAGGAACTCTGCTCTGTTTTGAAAACCTAAATTCATTTGATTTTGACTATTATCTGAGCGGTGGCAAGAGCCGCACTCCCACACGTGCATGGTCCAGGGACCGAACTTCGGATTGATGGGCTAACCAAGCTACCATCCTGGGTCAGTCAAGTGGTACCGGACTCGCCTGAGAACATAGAAGCACTGGCTTGCACAGCGTATGGCCATCACAAGTCCATGTTGAAGCCAAATATCTTTTAAAAATCCCGAACACGGAGCCACATGCCGAAAAGAAGACAAATGCGTTGTTATCCTATAGACTTTTCAAATCCAATGAGCAATACTTGACACTTCATTATTTTAGCAGNNATAGCCTGGTCGCCTTTATTTTGCGTCCCATGCATATTTGATCACCATCCGGTTCTCAAAATAACGACTGTTTTTTCTCTCTCCGAAATTCCACTCCTTTTTCGATACTCCCAACTACGCGCCATCACATTTTCTCAAATTCATGGTGTTCCCTCGTCTTACCTTCCTGTCAGTGATAGAAATTCGTCGAAACATTTTCAGCTCCGTCAAGACAGAAAGCTTACTCGATAAAAATCATATGCAAAAACACGTGTCAACACTCTCACAACATCGCCAACAGAATAGTTTTTACGTACAGTATGACGCAACTATTACACTGAGGATCTCATGTCAAGACAGTTGTGCAAAGTTCAAGAAAGAAGCTATGATATGCGCTATCACACAACTCCGATGCTCACATTAGCTAGCAAACTAGGACATACATTAAGCACACATCCCTGACAGCTATTCAGCTACAGTACAATGTAAAAATTCTCGGACGGCAAAGAAACTACGACAATTATTGCACAAACCAGAAATTCTCGACATTTTGAAACATAACGTTCCAGCATTTTGGAGCTCCGAAGGTTTAAAACTCACGACAACAGGTAGACATACCTCTTTATTGAGTATAGGTATATTTATTGCATATAGTTTAGTCTCATATGGAGGACTCAATGTGGAGGCATTGATGAAACCGGTTCCGATTATCTTTGCAACTTTCCAGATTGGCTCCAATAAAATGACCTTTTCCCTAGGTCACATGAGTCAATATGTTCACATCTGATGATTCCACGCATCAGTATGTGCGCCTCTCTTTTAAGGGGTTAGATACACGGATACATTACGCTTGACCATTCTATCGCACATCCTGTTGCCCGAAGCCTAGGAATCTCAAGAAAATCGCACTAGAAATCTCAAAAAAAAATTCCAATTCCAAAAAAACTCAAAATAAAAGTTTTCAAAAAATCTAACCCTTTTTCTGACAACTAATACTGCTTTTGGAAGGGCGGATGGGACTGCAATTTTAATAAAAAGCGATCGAAAGCCTCGATAATGAACGGTTTATGCTGAAATAACAAAGAAAAAGCGCGGTTTAGCCCATCGGAAGCTTGACTCGACGAAGATGAAGCCTGGCGTTATGTTGCCGATTAAGGTCTGATTTTCAAACCTCTTCCAAAACAAATGCGCCCAAATAATGCCCCAGAGCGTTAAAGCTCATTTCGCGCTTTGTACAACGATTGTAGTCGAGGGATTTCCAGCGTAAAGCTAAAGACCAAATCGTGTCATATTTAATAGCACATTTCTATCAACATTAGCATATTATATTCAAATTCGCTAATATTTTTCATTCATGAGCTAAATTAGTGAGCTCATTTGATGGTAATTATGAAGGCAATAAGGATAGAACAAAAACCAACATGATTACTGAACCGATCTGTCAACTAGGAACGTTTCGTTCTGCAATGTTATGAAGGCAGGTAAACCATGTTACAGCCCAGTGGGTGGCAGAGTAATTTGAGTGAGGAACTTCCTTGTTATGAACCCTTGCCCCACTAAATCCTCCCCATTGCTCAAATACATATAAGGCTTCCTGTGCGGTCGCTTAATTCCAGCACGAATATACATAACACTCAAGATACACATAATAAAAATGTTGGTGTGGAAAGGAATGAGAAAGCATCCTGAAAAGTTTAGAAACAACTCACTTTTGGAATCTCAACTGGTCGATACTGGTCGATGAACGGTGGCGGCGAAACTTTTGGTCCCCATGGATCGACGACCAAAATGAGGATGATGAAAAGGACAAGAGCTGCGCCGAATAACGTCCCCAGAAGGAAAGCTAACATTCGATCGCGAGACACGCGTCAGTGATCGGTTCTTCTGCCTCTGGATTTGCGACTGGCATAGGGAGGCTTCACTGGCCTCACCTGCAAACACTGATGTGGAATTCCATACTGTTTTCAAAGACGACCTCATCGAAATGGCATACGAACAATATATTTCATCCAATTTAGGAAAAAAGGGTCAACGACGAGAATGGCATAGAATAGAGAATCGCAAATTCCATGCATGTAAAGATTCGGAGGAGTTGAAGAAGTGATAAAATTTTTTTCACTTTTTGCTGGTTTTCTCACTTCATCTTCGGATAATGAGAGCTCCCTCAAGTAACAGAAGTTCAAGAAATGAGAAGTGGAGCTGAAGACACTCCAAACGGTGCTCAAGACAATTTTTGCCAAAACTTTTTAGAAATTATCATTTCCCATCCTTCTTGTAACAGCTTCTTTCCCTTAAGTTTCATACCCCTTTCTTTGATGACTCACATGCACAGAGAAATCAAAAGTGAAAAAAAAGATTGAGAAAGGGAGGCGAGCAAAGACTCACAGTAATTCGACAACAATAGGATTCAAAAAAAAAATGCAGCCCCAAAAATCAACGATTTAGGCAAAATAGAAACTTCTCAATGAAAGTAGAGATATATCGCGAAATATTATTCTATTGCTCTACTTTTTTCTTTCGATTTATGTACTTGACGTCGTATCGCGAAACAAAGGAGTTAGCCCTAGCCAAATTTCCTCAGTATCGCTGTGATGGACGCTGAATGGGGTCGAACCTGCTGGTGACGTTGGCTCATATTATATTATCGAAAGCAGCGCCATAGCTAAAGACCTTGAGAAACTATGTTTGCTCAGACGAACCAAACCGATCGCTTCCGACATGACTCACTGCTAGTAAATTAGACTTTAGGAATATATCTTTCTTCACTGTTCAGGCACGCTTTTGGAGGCTTGCCAATACAAATTAATGAATTTGGGTAAAATAATCAAACTTCTCAAGAAACCTAAGTTGAAATGGGGCTCGGCGTAGATATTCAAGAGATTAATCAGATAGACCACTTCGAAGAACATTCGACTTCCAACTAACTGGCATATCAAGGAAAGAAGGAAAAGCAAGCTGGTTAAGACCATCGACGAAATCAGGTCGTAAACACAGCTCACGTCTCCGACACTAGCACGACCTTCACGACGAGTTACCACTTCAAGTGCCTGGCACTTCTGTCGAGTGTGAGTGCAAATCGACCTTATCGTCAGAATATGTTTGCGAATTACTGCACCCAAAGTTACGGCCGATCAGGATCGAAGCTTGAGTGTAAACTTGAACAGCAAATAGTTGAATCTCAGAGATTAATGATGAAAAAGGAGTGTCCCATCAAAGAAGAAGTAGCCAGTCTTTTATAAAAAAAAACCTTCCTCAAAAAGTGGCTTTTTTGTTTTGATAAACATTATGAACCAAGCCAACCCATATCAGAAGTTACCGGACTCTCTCGAGAAAATTGATTTCTTTACTATTAGGATGAAATTTTCCCAAAGATCGATATGCTACATCGCTTCGCTAACAAATAATGCAGCACTTTCTTTTTGTGTGATAGAATTTCCCATCAATTTCTCACTTCATGGTTTAGGCCTCGAAACTAGGATTTTTCTGGGAAACTAAGAAACTAGGAAGATGTCAGCAACGCTTCTTATCTCAAATTTTCAACCAATAAACAATTACTGCCCCGTGAAATGGGCCGTCAGCTAAATTAGTTTCATTCCGTATGAACGTCAATAATTTCATAGGCATAATGAAGTTGCTGAAGTGAAAGATAGGACGGAGATTATCAGCCAACAGCAGGGAGACTTTGAGAAAATCTCTACAGTAAAATGCAAAGGAAAATGGAAGATTGCGCCAGTCTTGTTTCTTTATCATTGTCATAAGCCAGTCAAGCAAGATAAATCAGAGAAAAAGAAACCAGTCAAAACACCAACTGACGCCGATTCATTATATAAGTGAAAGGATAAAAGGAAACACAGCTGACAGGAATCTATAAACAAGTGCATCATGCAATTTAATGCAGACATTTTCCTGTCAGCTTAACCAAGCAACACAAAGAAACTTAACTCGTAAAAGGAGAGGCAGGCACATTAATCAGGCTGGTTCAGAAATGTGTTGAGGGTGATGTCAAGAATAACAACACTCGGTAAGAGCTCGATAAGTGCCAAGAATCGAATCTTGGTGATTTGGCGCTTTCTGCTCTCGAGAATCCTATTAATGGCTCAACTTAAAAAGGCTTAAGGAAACATTGAAAGCGAACGATCAGTGAAGAAAACAGGATCAGTGAAAACTGCTCTATGAGGTTGGACTATGGAAAAGGGAGAACAACAAAGGCACCATGCCTTTACTATAACAGAACAACAGAAGTTTCAAATGTGATGAAAGAAAATAACATAGCGTAGAAAGCGAACCTCTGAAAGTTCAGAAGTACAAGTAAGTTCAAAAGCAAGAGAAGTGAAATGAATCGATCTATGAAGCGAAAATAGATTATTTGTGAGGTCGCACAGTTTCGAACTACTTGAAGATAATTATTACCTGATGTTTTTCACCATAATTTGCGATTCGGAAGCTATCATATGGTCGTTCAGTTGAAGACAGAACTTTGGCCTAGACAGAGATGATCCTTAATCATTATCTTCTTGGACTCGACGACACTTAATCATGATATACTATGAGTGATGATAAGCTATGAGCCGTAAGAAGCTTAGGGTAAGCAGGCCTCGTCCGAGTAAAGTTCCAAAGTTCGTAGGCCAAACGTTTGGATTAAACTAGGATTCCAACTACAACTCGAACGCCTGGTATAGTATCAGAAGAGACTACCAAAGTCAGCTCTAGCTAATAAGGCTACCATGACGTTATAAGAAGAGTAAAACAACCTTCTAAAGCTTGTCATGTAGTGAGCTCTTGCAGCTTCTACCTCACTAACCTCTAAAGTGTTGTGAGCCGTTACTTTGTTATGAATGCAACAAAAGTAACAATTATATATGAGAGGAGAAAACCACGTAAGACTTTCAAAAAACCACTTCAAACGAATGGTAGAGGAGTTTGTCGACAGCAGGTGGCTGGCTTGCACGTCATTATTGTTTTTCTTATCGTTCTGCTATTCAACATTTCAGACGAATAATGACGTGCAACTAGCGCAAATAAGAAGAGTACGGAACCCTACGTATCATACTTATTGATCATACTGTAAAAATTCGACTTAAAAAGAAATGACATCAGCGACTGAATGGCAGAGCATAATAAAGTATAATAATTGGACATTTGCGGAACAATAACAACATCTGGGCAGTTATAAAGTAGTGAATGACAACATGAAGCGAGAATGATAGCAAAGTCGTGGGGTGCCTGGAAATCAAGTAAAAGACACAGATTTTTTGAATAGAATCCTTCGGAAATCCTGAATGTGAAGGGACCAATCAGCTGCATAGCAACCCAGCAGGTTAAATCCAATTGTCCAGCTTCCCTCCTTCCGACAAGATCCAGTTATTGGATGTCGCACGAATTTCAATAGATACTGGGTACTGATAGAGGGCAAGCGGGAAGGGTTGCTGCTATCGTTGAAGGCTGGAAGACCAGGGCTGATGAGAATTGGGAGAACAGAGAAGGGGCGGAGACCCATGCGGACATGAGGATAAATTGTGGGTAATCCGGTTTCATTATTTTATTTTGATTACAATGAGAATCGGGGAGTGAGTCAGAAAATTTCCTCAATATTCTTTTATAACACCGCAGCCAGGAAAAACAACAGTCCCCATTTTGGATCCATTTGTTGAGAGGAACGGCCTATAATGACCACAAAAAAACCAGAGAAGTATTGGCACCTTAAGGAAAGTACACTCTGCAATATAACAATAATGGAGATCTTCGGCTCAACAGAAGCCCTTATTTTAAGGTTTACCGTTTCAAAACCGTTTTAGCTGCGATGTTCTCAGAAAATCTCCGATTACAAGTAAAACTCATGGTTTGCTCCATAGTTCTACCCATGTTCCTTCCCATGCTTGAATTTCGACACGATACTGAGTTCCCATTCCCTTCGAAGCTGCATAAAGTGCAACCAAACATACTGACTTATTCAGAGATTTCGTGGAAAAAACACAAAAAAAACACGATCAAATGAAGGCAAGGGAATACCACCAGCATTTCAAGAAAGGACAATTTTCTTAAAAACTGAAATAACGTCAGCAAAAGGCTATTTCACAACGCGATAGTGGAACCATTGGAAGCCCGTTGTGGGAAGGAAATGACCTTTTTGAGAAAAAACAACAGTATGACTAAGAAAACCCAAATATCCGTTCTGGAAAAAAGAAATTGAGTGGGCAGTGGAACTACAGCTGTTGCATTGCTGACGCGCTGCAAGCATAGACTCGATAAACACTGGGCGTACTTTGGTGTGTTGTTCGGAATAAATGACGACATCGGCTAGATCAGGGGATGTGCAGCCATGCGAGAGAGCTTTATGAAAAGGAAACAATAGAAATTTCAGGTGAATAACGTTCGCTGAATATCAAACGAGTACTTGTAGCTGATGAGGTTTCGGATATTTCATTTTGGTTGACCTGGGGGATGGAATGCCCATTCCCTTCTCCATTTCCGTTTCTCAGTTCCCCAAGTTTTGAGTAAACAAAACGATGCCCGCTAGGGCCTTCCAGGCATTCGAATGTTTATCAAGTTGGGCCAAAATGATACAAGTGAAACAATAAAATAGATGACCCCCGAACCTTAGCAAGAAATCATGAGGATTTCCGTTCCCAGACGCACTCAGACCTCCACTCGGAATCCTTAAGAAGTTTGCCTACTTACTAGTCCGAAACATTGGCTTCCCAGGTCTAGCTCATGTGTAGGTGGCAGCTGTTGTTCAACCAGATGTGTCTGACACCTATTATCCAACTTCAGAGTGAAAGGCCTCGTCGGGCTGGCCGTGTTTTAATCTGAGGTTTGAACCCCCGTCAACGTGAGGCCCCTTCCAGCTCTG